TTGAATTTTAAGTGATATTACATAAAACTCAACTGAAGCTGGTTTGTTTCCGTTCGATGAATGTATCGAGGCAATATTGCTGTAAAGAGAAGCCAATGATGGGTCATTTGATGAAAGCCTTTGAACTCGAATTTTAGGTGCATTTTCATAAAATACAAAAGCATTTGTTAGGTCTTCGATTGATTTATAAGCGACAGCAATATTATTATAGTTAGTTGCTAATTCGAGATCATCTGAAGAGGAAGATTTTTCAAGAATTTCGATTGATTTCTTATAATAAGTGATTGTATTTGAGTAATCATCCATCGAATAGTGTAGAGATGCAATGCCAGTATAGAGAGATGCTAATGATGGATCATCAGCTGCAAGCTTTTTTAATCGAATGGCAAGTGCTTTCTGGTAAAATGTAAGAGCATTGAATTTATCATTTATTGAACTATAAGCGACAGCGATGTTGTTATAGTTGGTTGCTAATTCGGGATCATCTGAAGACGAAGATTTTTCACGAATTTCAATGGCTTTCTTATAATAGGTGATTGTATTTGAGTAATCATCCATCGAATAGTGTAGAGATGCAATACCAGTATAAATTGCAGCTAACGATGGATCATCAACTGCAAGCTTTCTTAATCGAAGTGCAAGTGCCTTCTTGTAAAATGTAAGAGCATTTGTTTTATCTCCTACAGATTTATAGACAATAGCGATGTTGCTATAGTTGGTTCCTAATTCGAGATCTTCTGCAGACGAAGATTTTTCACGAATTTGGATAGCTTTCTTATAAAACATGATTGCATTTGAGTAATCTTTCAACAAATTATGTAGAGACGCAATGCTAGTATAGATTGTCGCCAGCGATGGATCATCAGCTGCAAGCTTTTTTAATCGTATTGCAAGTGCTTTCTCGTAAAATGCAAGGGCATTATATTCGTCATTCATTGATTTATAAGCGGCAGCGATATTATTATAGGTAGTGGCTAAAGTTGGATCATCTGCAGCGAGAGACTCTTCACGAATGTGAAGTGCTTTTTTATAAAACGAGACCGCACTTGAGTAGTTTTCCATTTCATAACATGTTGAAGCGATGTTGTTATAAGTTGAAGCCAGTACTGAATCATCAGAAGACATTTTTTTCTCTCGAATAACTAATGCTTTTTCATGATATGAAAGTGCTGTTGTGTAGTCTTTCATTGCATCATATACTAAGCCAATATTACTATATGAAGTAGCCAAGTCACGATGGTCATCAGGAAGTGATTTTTGTTCAATTTCAAACGCTTTTTCGTAAAATGTAAGCGCCTTTTGATGATCATTCATCTCGTGATAGGCTAAACCGATGTTGCTATACGTAACAGCCAAACTACGGTTCTTAGGATTAGGAGATTTACTTTGTATTTCAAGTGCTTTTTCAAAAAATGAAAGAGCAATAGAGTACTCTTTCATTGAATGATGTGCTGATCCAATTTTATTATAAGTCGTAGCTGCTTCATCCAACTGACTGAGTTGAGGATTTTTTTCACAAATTTCATATGCTTTTTCATAAAAAGAAAGTGCAGTAGAGTAATCACTCATAGATTGATAAACTAAACCAATATTGTTGTATGTAGTAACAAGCGATGGGTGGTTTGGAGGAAGGCAAGCTTGTTTGATTTCGAGTGATTTTTCATAGGACGATAAGGCTTTTTGTTTATTTCCCATAGAGCTATAGATTGTACCCAGGTTATTGTAACTAGTAGCTATATTGGGATGCTTAGGAGGAAGTGACAGTTCACGAATTTCGAGTGCTTTTTGATAGTATGATAGAGCAGTAGACTTGTCTCCCATCGAACTATAGACTGAACCAAAGCTACTATAGGTATCAGCAAAATCTGGATGATTTTCTGGAAAAGTCAGCTTTTGAATTTCAAGTGCTTTTTCAAAACATGAAAGTGCGCTGGAATAATTGTCCATCGAATCATATACTGAGCCGATGCAAATGTAGCTGTTAGCTTTGTCGGGATGATTAGTAGGAAGAGATAATTCTCGAATTTCAAGAGCTTTTTGATAATATTCGAGTGCTTTCGATTTGTCACCCATCGAACTGTGAATAGAACCAAAATTACCGTAGCTCGTAGCTAAATCTCGATGCTTTGGAGGAAGATATTTTTCTCGAACATCAAGTGCCTGTTGATAAAATTTGAGAGCAGTCGAATAGTCTCCCATGTCTTGATGTAATGCACCAATATTACTATATATAGCTCCAAAATCTGGATGATTAGATGGAAGTGTTTTCTGTCGAATTTCGAGCGACTTTTGATAAAATGAAAGTGCACTTGCAAAATCTGCCAATGTTTTATGCATTAAGCCGATGTTGCTGTAGGTTGTAGCTAGTGTAGGATGATCGGGGGGAAGAGATTTCTCTTCTATTTCAAGTGCTTTTTGATAAGACGAAAGTGCAGATCCATAGTCTCCCAATGACTCATGCACTCCAGCAATATTATTATAGGTCGGAGCTAGCGAAGGATCGTCAGATGGTAAAAAATCCAATTCACCTTTAAGTGCCTTTTCATAGTATAAAATCGCAGTTTTATAATCACCCTTTTCACTGTAGACACATCCAAGCTGATGATTGAGATGAGAATGCCTACGCCAATTCTTTTCATCAGTTGAATCAAGTTGTGGTGCATATATTTCTTCAGCTTGACTAAGTTCGCCCATCTTAAGCATTAGATGTCCTAGTTTGTCCAATGAAGTACCTTTGCCAAGCTCTTTTCTCATGTAATCGGCAATATTTCTAAGCTGTTCATCGTTGTCACTGGTCAGAGCTAAATTAACTTGCCAGAATCGATCTTCTAATTTTTGTGAACCCATAATTCGAAAAACGCAATGCATAGAGAAAAGAATTTCACTCTCATATTTATATGTACTTTATTTATCTATAAAAGCAAATTGAACCGATGAGATTTTCGGATTAATTTCCATGTAAAATAAAACAGCGATAACATTAGGATTTTTGTATGCCTTCTCTGCAAAGTGAAATGAAACTTTTTCATCGAGAGTCGTCGACAAGAAATTATTGAAAGAGAGAAGACCACCTTGACTAGCTTGTATCTTTTCTATTTCACCAGGTGTCATGTTTTGTCCTCGATCAACAATGAATTTATTATGATCACGAGTTTTCGATTGCTCATTATGCATATCTAGAATTTGTTGATGAAGATCATGTAGAAAAAAGCCCATTTTCATGATTGTTTCAATGTCTTAATCCCGCGAAGCTCGATTGAGCGTTGCATAAAGAAATGATTCTTTTGTATACCATTGAATGGCTAAATTATTATTATATTCTTGATCGAATTCATCGATTAAACTCAATTGAAGAATGTTGTCAATATATTTTGCTCGACAAAATTCAACTAGCTTATTTTTTGATGTGTGACCATGCTTCATTTCAAGTAGAATCTCTTTGAGTAATTGCGTATACATATATGATTGATCTAGTTCATCCCCAATTAAGCTTGGAATGTCTATTCTGTGTATAATACTGATTGAAGTCAAGCTACCAACCAGACCGCTATCAAATTTAATCTTTTGGAAAATATCTTCCATGTCAAACAAGATTTCTTTTATTTTTTCTGACCATTTATTTGCCCAAGGCAATCTTTGTCGTTTTATTTGGCTAAATATATAAATGCTGTCGAGCTGCAGTTTATCATGTATGAGGGGTACAATTTCTTCCCCCAAATCATCCGATACAATTATAAATACCTTTTTATCGTCAATATTATCAATATAACTTATACATTGCTCAGCATTACTACATGTATAGATTGCAGATGTAATGCGTTGAAGTTTCATTATTGAATCATGATATTTTTTCTTTGATTGATCAATATTTGCATCTACCCAAACAATGACAATATGTTCATTGGGCTCATGCTCCGAATGTAGTGAAGGAGTCTTAGATTTTTTCTGTGAAGTTGGTAGTTTAATAATAGTAGTACTTTTGTGGGATGTGACGCTTGCTATACTTTTGCTAACACTTTTTTGAGATGAAGAACTCGATATTCGCTTCACGACATTATTTTGTGACAGTCGAGCTACTTCCATACTCCATCAATTTTAAAAAAGCAAAGATACTTTACGTTAATAGTTAGTCACGTCGTCTACTTTGACTGTAAATGTTTGCTGTCAATGTTCTTTTTCTACCTTTTTTTTAAGTATATTGCATTCTACGAAAAAATGAAGAGTACAATCTTTGTCTCGCAATTCTTATCTTCATTTCAATCCTGTAGCAGGCTTCTTTTTTGATACGAACGTAATGAAAGTCGAAAGGAAGAAAAATAAAAACCTTGGAAAAAAGAGACTTCAGTCATCACTGAAGTAGAAATCTGAAGGGCTTTCGAGATATCAAACATTTTAGGGTGTGAGTGATGTTGTTGCGGGGTATTTATGGGTGTGGGTGAAGTGGGCGTGAGGTGTGAGTGTGGCGTGGGTATGGGAGATGGTAGAGGGTGAGAGTGGACTTTGTTACCACCACACCTACACCACGCACATCCGCATCCATATGTCTTTTGAAAGCTTGCATTATTACAATCACCCGACAGAGATACACAAAGAACAGAATAATATAAGAAAGAATAAATAAAAGAAACTTTGTTAAACTGATACAATATTCAACTGGAAGAAGTTGATGCATTGAGTATCAGCGTACATTGAAAAGACGTATGTATTCAGGAGTTTGAACAATGCTCATTCAATCGCATCTACTCTCAATCATAGTAGCGCTAATCGCAGATGAGGGTGTGAGTGTATGGTCGCAAAGAAGATCCGAATGCCATTCTCATCCACTCAGATCCATTCACTTACATACGCAAATTGTTGCACTCTTATTTTCTTTTTTTTTGGAAATTAGAAGCATACTCCAGAGATTTCATTCCATGCTCAACAGACAGACCACTTTGCATCCTGTAAAACTTTCGACTTTGTTTTCCAGATAAATTTTTCTTACCATCGAAAATTGAAAAGATTAACAGATACTCAGTTGCCTGATTACGATCTTCAATATTTTAACTGAATATCATTCAATTTCTATGAGCTGGCGTGTCATCAAGTATCATTCTAAGCTGAAAGTATTTCGCATCAATAAATAGAGAATTCTGATGCTATACAAATGTAGCATCTTCATAAAATGCACTCGGAAGAAAATGATGTAAAATCTAACAGAGTTGTCGAACAGTTATTTGGCAAAATTTTTTCTTATATACTCTTTTGAAAACTTGTTGACAGATGATATCAACAGATGAGAAAATTGGGAGAAAATCTTGTAGCACAATCCATATTTTTGATAGAACTCTTATTTCGAAATTAGTTTGCCAATCTCGAATTTTTTAAAAGTTGCATTTGAACAACTAAGCATTGGCAATTGTTTGCAGCTTTTCATCGACAAGAAAAATTAATGTAAAATGTAGAATCAATAATATTGAAAAGCGAACAGTTTTCTACGAACATAGATCAGAATGGAACTTTTGAAGTGTGTTTGTAATTTTTGAAGAAAAGAAAATAAATATTCCATTCTCTATGGGTCGCCAGTTACAATTGGATTATACATAATTACTGATTATAAAAGCACATCTTGGCTGAAATATACAAGTCCTCATTAAAAATACAGATGCGATCGATAGGGTTTCATTGTATTGAAAATAGCCAGAAACTATGGGAAATAGATAAAAACCAACGAAAGTAAAAAGTATTGCAGGAATGAGTCTGTTTCTCCTTGATACTATCTAACACATTCGTCATAAAAATTATTTTGTATATACCTTCTCAAGATGAATACTTACATAATAAAATGTTCACACAGAAAAACTTCGGGTATTCCGTTACGACCTGTTTTGTCTTGCCTCTCCAAAATATCCAATTATTTTAGAAACAATTAGAATAATATTTTTAAAACATAACTTGAAAAATTTCCCATTTGTTTACACACAAGTCAACATTCCTAAACGGAACTTATAATAAACGTATCGCAATTTAACTGTACAGTCACATCAAGTATACGCTATTTCATTTTGATGATATTAGCACCAACATACATAGGATAACTATTTATTACTAATTAGAGAAAATGAATATTTTTATCTACAATATTGTTTTAAACATTTATAAACTATTGAGATTGTTGAAAAAAAACTGCTAATTTAACATCTTTAGGATTAAAATTTAAAATATCATTCATCTTTTAGATCATAAATGTCGCATTTTAACAACTTGTCTTAGTGTTTATGAGCCATTCCACATTGTCAAAGGGAAGCTGAGTTACAACCTGCTACTTTATACTGTAGTATTCTCTTTCAGTCTTCTTTTCTACTATAAGATTAAAATAGATTACATCAAATTGTTTTCTCTAATGATATGTTTTTCCAATTCCAACATTTTTCAATCGACTAACTTCTACCAATAATATTTATTTTCTAAAACTGTATGACAACGATTAGTTTGTTCTTGTTTAATTAAAATTATTGTTCGCAAACAACATATTTCATTGATATTTGTAAATATTACCACCATAAATATAATTTGGAATCGACAAGTTTTAACATATAATCATCAACTAATGTTTCGGACTTGATTAGTGTTTCCAACTTATGGAACCAATTATTTGTTGCTTGTGAAAAACACAATGAGCACAAATGACCAGTATTCTCATTAGTACTTTCCAATAGAAATCTTGCCATTGATTCCAAATTCTTCAAGGACGTTTTTATGGTAAGATGTTGCAGTCGAGGGCACAAGGCAACAAGAATCCGAACCTTTTCCAAAGTACAAGCTTCTTTCAAGGTCAAATTTGTAATCTTATTGTGGTTTGATACTGATCGAAAAGCTTTACTTTGTTGAATTAACATATAATCGTTTCTGTAAAAAGGCATACTGTTAAATATCAGTGTATGAATATTAGATGTAAAGTGTAATAATTCGATTATTTTGATAAGAGAGAAATGACGACATTCAAGGACTAGTATAGACAGTTGCTGCAAAGGAATCATGCGATTGAGAATGGTTGCAATTGAATCACGAGCTGTAGAAAAATCAGTTTCAAAAGTAAGTTCAGTAGCATTTGGAAAATAATTTACACAATTGATAATTTCTGTTTGACTTTGAATATAAACATGATGAACTGACTTGAGATTGATTTCTTTACAGTTTAAACAGGTTTTTTCATTCGATTGCTTATATAATGTGTAAAATTTCCTTCTGAAATATAAAAATAATATGTACATATTGTAAAAAAGCAAAAATTTCATCTATTGATACCTGTATGGATCTGTTGAATAGAATATTGTCGGATTTCCATATCTTGATTGATTATGTTGAAGTGCAAAAGACCATTGTCGTTCAATCCAAAATGGAGATGTAAACTGATTAATCCGACTATCTAATGTCAACTCAATATTATTACTATTATTATTGGCAGTAGTATTGCTTGGCCAACTTTCATGTCTAATATCAAATATACGTAGATTTGGCATATGTGATAATATCAATTTTTCCCATCTATTACCATCCATATATGCTACATCACTATTATAGTTTATCGAAACTCTTAAAGCTTGAATTTTAGCGAAAAGATCAATGCCAAGTTGTTCAAATTGATCAAACCTTATATAGTTTAATTTGAGAGAAACATGTGTCAAATGATTTAATACAGGTGGACGTATTTTTCTCAGATGCATCCCATAGTTTTCTTGTAGCTGAATAGAAAAACGACGAAGTTAAGGAACATATGATACCAAATCATTAAGGTGATCCAAGTATATGACATTGTTGATGATTAAATAGAAGATATTTGCTTGACAATCCTTCAGACATAGCAAGAAAATGGGTGTGTGACTTTGGGGGTGGCTAAATTTTGTTTTTTTTCTTCTTTCACAATCTATANTTTTCATCAGTTGAATCAAGTTGTGGTGCATATATTTCTTCAGCTTGACTAAGTTCGCCCATCTTAAGCATTAGATGTCCTAGTTTGTCCAATGAAGTACCTTTGCCAAGCTCTTTTCTCATGTAATCGGCAATATTTCTAAGCTGTTCATCGTTGTCACTGGTCAGAGCTAAATTAACTTGCCAGAATCGATCTTCTAGTTTTTGTGAACCCATAATTCGAAAAACGGTATGCATAGAGAAAAGAATTTCACTCTCATATTTATATGTACTTTGCTTGTCTATAAAAGCAAATTGAACCGATGAGATTTTCGGATTAATTTCCATATGAAATAAAACCGCGATAACATTAGGATTTTTGTATGCCTTCTCTGCAAAGTGAAATGAGACTTTTTCATCGAGAGTCGTCGACAAGAAATTATTGAAAGAGAGAAGACCACCTTGACTAGCTTGTATCTTTTCTATTTCACCAGGTGTCATGCCTTGTCCTCGATAAACAATGAATTTATTATGATCACGAGTTTTCGATTGCTCATTATGCATATCTAGAATTTGTTGATGAAGATCATGTAGAAAAAAGCCCATTTTCATGATTGTTTCAATGTCTTGTTCCCGCAAAGCTCGATTCAGCGTTGCATAAAGAAATGATTCTTTTGTATACCATTGAATGGCTAAATTATTATCATATTCTTGATCGAATTCATCGATTAAACTCAATTGAAGAATGTTGTCAATATATTTTTCTCGACAAAATTCAACCAGCTTATTTTTGGATATGTGATCATGCTTCATTTCAAGTAGAATCTCTTTGAGTAATTGCGTATACATATATGATTGATCTAGTTCATTTCCAATTAAGCTTGGAATGTCTATTCTGCGTATAATACTGATTGAAGTCAAGCTACCAACCAGGCCGCTATCAAATTTAATATTTTGGAAAATATCTTCCATGTCAAACAAGATTTGTTTTATTTTTTCTGACCATTTATTTGCCCAAGGCAATCTTTGTCGTTTTACTTGGCTAAATATATAAATGCTGTCGAGCTGCGGTTTATCATGTATGAGGGGAACAATTTCTTCCCCCAAATCATCCGATACAATTATAAATACCTTTTTATCGTCAATATTATCAATATAACTTAGACATTGTTCAGCATTAGTACATGTATAAATTGCAGATGTAATGCGTTGAAGTTTCATTACTGAATCATGATATTTCTTCTTTGATTGATCAATATTTGCATCCACCCAAACAATGGCAATATGTTCATTGAGCTCATGCTCCGAGTGTAGCGAAGGAGTCTTAGATTTTTTCTGTGAAGTTGGTGGTTTAATAATAGTAGTACTTTTGTGGGATGTGACGCTTGCTATACTTTTGTTAACACTTTTTTGAGATGAAGAACTCGATATTCGCTTCACGACATTATTTTGTGCACTTGGTATTTTGGTCTGCTGATTATTCGAGTTATTTTGAGACACAGGTTGAGCGGGAGCAATAGTGACAGTCGAGCTACTTCCACACCCCATCAATTTTAAAAAAGCAAAGATACTTTACGTTAATAGTCAGTCACGTCGTCTACTTTGACTGTAAATGTTTGCTGTCAATGTTCTTTTTCTACCTTTTTTTTTAAGTATATTGCATTCTACGAAAAAATGAAAAGTACAATATTTGTCTCGCAATTCTTATCTTCATTTCAATCCTGTAGCAAGCTTCTCTTTTGATACGAACGTAATGAAAGTCGAAAGAAAGAAAAATAAAAAACTTGGAAAAAAAGGCTTCAGTCATCACTGAAGTAGAAATCTGAAGGGCTTTCGAGATATCAAACATTTTATGGTGTGAGTGATGTTGTTGCGGGGTATTTATGGGTGTGGGTGAGGTGGGCGTGAGGTGTGAGTGTGGTGTGGGTATGGGAGATGGTAGAGGGTGAGAGTGGACTTTGTTACCACCACACCTACACCACGCACATCCGCATCCATATGTCTTTTGAAAGCTTGCATTATTACAATCACCCGACAGAGATACACAAAGAACAAAATAATATAGGAAAGAATAAATAAAAGAAACTTTGTTAAACTGATACAATATTCAACTNGATTTTTCGCGAATTTCGATTGTTTTTTTATAAAACGCGATTGCATTTAAGTAATCTTTCATCGAATAATGTAGAGATGCAATACTGGTATAGATTGTCGCCAAAGATGGATCATCGGTTGGAAGCTTCCTTTGTCGAATTGCGAGCGCCTTTTGATAAAATAGAAGAGCGTTTGATTCATCATCCATTGAACTATAAGCGACAGCAATGTTATTATAATTGGTTGCTAATTCGAGCTCATCTACAGACGAAGACTTTTCCAGAATTTCGATTGCTTTCTTATAAAACTCGACGGCATTCAAACAATCATTCAGCTCATGATACACTGAAGCTATGTTGCTATAAGTTGAAGCAATTGTTGAATCATCAGAAGACGTTTTTTTCTTTCGAATAACAAGTGCTTTTTCATAAGATGAAAGTGCTTTTGTGTAGTCTTTCAACGAACAGTATACTAATCCAATATTACTGTATGAAATAGCCAAATCGTGATGATCGTCAGGAAGTGATTTTTGTTCGATTTCAAGCGCCTTTTCGTAATACGAAAGTGCTTTTTGATAATCATTAATCTCATGATAAGTTAAACCGATGTTGCTGTACGTTATACCCAAGTTACGATTCTTAGGATTAAGGGATTTACTTTGTATTTCAAGTGCTTTTTCGAAAAACGAAAGTGCAGTAGAATACTCTTTCATTGAATGACGCGCTGATCCAATTTTGTTATAAGTCGTAGCTGCTTCATCAGACTGACTGAGTTGAGGATTTTTTTCACAAATTTCATTTGCTTTTTGATAAAAAGAAAGCGCAGTAGAGTAATCACTCATGGATTGATAAACTAAACCAATATTATTGTATGTAGTAACAAGCGACGGGTGGTTTTCAGAAAGGCAAGTTCGTTTGATTTCGAGTGATTTTTCATAAGACGATAACGCTTTTTGTTTGTTTCCCATAGAGCTGTATATAGTACCAAGGTTATTGTAACTAGTAGATATATCGGGATGGTTTGGAGGGAGTGACAATTCTCGAATTTCGAGTGCTTTTTGATAGTATGATAGGGCAGTTGACTTGTCTTCCATCGAACTATAGACCGAACCAAAGTTATTATAGGTGTTAGCAAATGCTGGATGATTCTCTGGAAAAGCTTTCTTTTGAATTTCGAGTGCTTTTTCAAAACATGAAAGTGCATTGGAATAATCTTCTATTGAGTGGTATACTGAGCCGATGCAATTGTAGCTGTTAGCTTTGTCCGGATGATTAGTAGGAAGAGATAATTCTCGAATTTCACGCGCCTTTTCATAATATTCGAGTGCTTTCGGTTTGTCACCCATTGAACTGTGAATAGAACCAAAATTAGCGTAGCTTGAAGCTAAATCTGGATGCTTTGGAGGGAGATATTTTTCTCGGACATCAAGTGCCTGTTGATAAAATTTGAGAGCAGTTGAATAGTCTCCCATATCTTGATGCAGTCCGCCAATATTACTATATATAGTTCCAAAATCTGGATGATTAGGTGGGAGTGTTGTCTGCCGAATTTCTAGTGCCCTTTGATAAAATGAAAGTGCACTCACAAAGTCTGCCAGTGTTTTATGTGCTAAACCGATATTGCTGCAAGTTGTAGCTAGTGTAGGATGATCAGGAGGGAGAGATTTCTCTTCTATTTCGAGTGCTTTTTTATAAGACGAAAGCGCCAATGAATAGTTTCCCATTGAATTCTGTACTGATGCTATATTATTGTAGGTCACGCCAAGCGAAGAATCGTCAGGAGGAAGAAAATCCAGTTCTGTTTTGAGTGTCTTTTCATAGCATGAAAGTGCAGCTTTATAATCACCTTTCTGGCTGTAGATATATCCAAGTTGATTATTGAGATGAGCATGTTTTCGCCAATTCTTTTCATCTGTTGAATCAAGTTGTGGTGCATATATTTCTTCAGCTTGATTGAATTCGCCCATTTTAAGCATTAGATGGCCAAGTTTGTTCAGTGAAGTACCTTCCCCAAGCTCTTTTCTCATGTAATCGGTAAGATTTTTGAGTTGTTCATCATTGTCACTTGTCAGAGCTAAATTGACTTGCCAAAATCGTTCCTTAAGTTTTTGAGAACCCATAATTCGAAAAACGGTATGCATAGAAAAAAGAATTTCACTCTCATATTTATATGTACTCTGTTTGTCGATGAAAGCAAATGGAAGCGATGAGATCTTTGGATTAATTTCCATATGAAATAAAACCGCGATGACATGTGGATTTGTGTATGCTTTTTCTGCAAAGTGAAGTGAAACTTTTTCATCGAGAGTTGTTGATAAGAAACTATTGAAAGAGAGAAGACCACCCTGACTCGTTTGTATCTTTTCGATTTCCTCAGGTGTCATGCCTTGTCCTCGGTAAACAATGAATTTATTATTATCACGAGTTTCGGATTGTTGAGTATGCATCTCTGCAATTCGTTGATGAAGATCCTGTAGAAAGAATCCCATTTTCATGATTGTTTCAATATCTTGATTTCTCAAAGCTCGATTTAACATTGCATAAAGAAAAGATTCTTTTGTATACCATTCAATGGCTAAAGCATTATTGTACTCTTGTTCGAATTCATCGATTAAACCCAATTGAAGAACACTGTCTGCATATTGTGCTTGACAGAATTCAACCAGCTTACTTTTGGATGAATCATCATGTTTCATTTCGAGTAAAATCTCTTTGAGCAATTGTGTATACATATATGACTGATCTAGTTCATTCCCAATTAAGCTTGGAATATCTATTCTGCGTATAATACTAATTGAAGTCAAGCTACCAACTTGACCACTGTCAAATTTAATCTTTTGAAAAATATCTTCCATGTTAAACAAAATTTGTTTTATTTTTTCGGACCATTTATTTGCCCAAGTTAATCTTTGTCGTTTTACTTGACTAAATATATAAATACTGTCGACCTGTGGTTTATCATGCACGAGAGGTACGATTTATTTGCCCAAATCATCTGATACAATTAGAAATACCTTTTTGTCATCAATATAATTTATACATTGTTCAGAATTAGTACATGTATAAATCGCAGATGTAATGCGTTGAAGTTTAGTCACTGAATCATGATATGTTTTTTTTGATTGATCAATATTTGCATCCACCCAAATAATGATAAGATGTTGATTAACGTCATGCTCTGAGTGTAGTGAAGGAGTCTTAGGTTTTTTCTGTGGAGTCGATGGTTTAATAATAGTAGTACTTTTATGAGATGTGACGCTTGTTATACTTTTACTAATGCTTTTCTGAGATGAAGAACTCGATATTCGCTTTACGATATTATTTTGTGCGCTTGGTATTCTGGTTTGTTGATTATTCTTATCATTATCAGGTCCAGGTTGAACGGGAGCAATAGCGACAGTCGAACTACTTCCGCACCCCATTAAATAAAAAAATGTAACGGCACTTTACCTTAATAGTCAGTTACGTCGTCTACTTTGAATGGAAACTTTTGCTTTCAATATTCTTTTTCTTTCTTTTTTTTTATATAGGTTTCATTACACGAAAAAATGAAAAGTGTTGCATTTTTCTTGCAATTTTTCTCTTCATTTTCATCCAATCTTACATTTTTTTTTTTGAGATTGTCGCAATGAAAATTTAAAAAAAAGAAAGTAAAAAATCTTGGAAACGAGTGTTTCAATCATCATCGTCGCAAAAAAATGAAAGTGCCTTCGAGATGTCAAAAATTATGCACAAGAAGTTGCGAGCTTTATTATTTTTTTCTTCCATCATTGTTAACAAGGTGATTTCTCCTTGATGTCTGATTCATTGACACTGTAAAACAGAATTCATCGAATGCATCACTTGTGAGAGAACATATTTTACTGTCTATCTAGAAAGGAGCCAAGAATTAACTTATTTTATTACAAACTGGCATTTTGATAGTGAACATTGAGTATTTTCTTCGAGGTGTCCTCACAATTGGAGTACTATAAACTCTGATTGAAACCATCGATTATTTCGGTTTGACTTGAACAGGATTTAGGTGCTGATAATTGCGAAAAAAAGCTCACAACTACACCCACACTCATCTCCACCCAAATACTAATGAAATTGAAACTTAATTTTTTTCTTTAAATAGTGCAATTGATAGTACATGACACATAATGGTTCTTATAAAAAAAATGAATATTTAGTGAATGTTATTGAATTGCTTTTAAAATTCAAAAATTGAATTCTCGTGTGAACTGTGATACATGTCTCAGTTTTCACAGTATTGTTGTTGGAATATTAGTATGTTTAGTCAGAACCGCCAACAATCAATTTTAACATCGATATTCTCTTACATTTGATTGAAATATAAGATATTCAATACTCATCAACTACTTCGATCATCATATTCATTTAGTACTCACACACTGAGAGAAAATAATATAATGAATAAACAACAATCAAGTAAATCTTCCTGTTGGAATTTATTTTCATTCAAC